AACACTGATTTTCTCTGTTGTAATGAAGTTCATGGAGGGCTGCTTCCTCTTTGTACTCTGGGTTGGATTATTATCTCTTCTGCTTACAGAGATGAAAAAGCAAATAACAATTAGCCTTCTCATATACTATTTCTTTCTCGTGGTCCCAGAATATGTAAAAGCTCTCTTTTCTCTATTCACAAAGAAATTCTAGAATCAGTGGTATTTTCACCAAGGAAGAGTGTCTGTCTGAATACTGCCTATATTTTCCTGCTGTGCCTTAAATACCCTTCCTTCAACTTTCAAATCAAGTCAATGGGTCAGCTCAAGATCTCTCATCAAATTTCATGTCCTTTAATGAAGGCTTACTGCCAGCACTGGAAGGAATTACTATTCACAATGCCACATGTTTTTTTTTACGGAGTAAATAGATTGAACCTGTTTGATCTTATTGGCAGTTGGTCTGAATCAAATGTACTCAGGAACTGATTCTCCTACAGTGATTAGTGAGTGATTATTAACTTGAGAAAAATAGTAAGGAATAAGAGAGTTAGGAAGGATAAAACTAAACAGGAAGTATCAATTCCTAAGGGTGGTACTTAACTAATCATGGACAAAAGTTGCTCACTTGGGAAGAAGCACAACATCTCCAGGCACAAAGACTTGACTACAAAAGGAGTGGGTTGGAATCTCAAATCAAATCAACAAGTAAATACTTAGGTAGAACTAATAAAGTATCCAGAACGTTTTTTATCATGCAGACAAGAAATATCTTATTCTTGACAAAGAGGTAGTGCTAAGAAGACTTTGAGAATTGACCCAGAAGCAGGAAATCTCCTGGAGGGCGTATGTCTTAGCTCCTCTTTAGAGAATGATTGATTTTGGCAACATCAAAACCAGTACAGAAAAGTTAGAGGATTATTTTGAACAATCCTGGAAGAGGTGGAAGAGCTATATTTATCTACTTTTTTTTACCCTTCTGGGTCTGAGTTCTTGGTAGAAATTTCCTTTGGGTGATTCTAATTCCATTTCATTCAATCCCAAATACAGAGTTTTCACATAGCCTTTCTAAGCTTGCTAAGTTTCACTGAGTAGACTGAAATATAATTAGAAAATATTTGTGAGTCCTACTGTGCCAAAGGTGAAGCAACAGAGTGATGGGACATGACATCATGGCAATAAATGAGGAAAAACTGGAAACAGTGGTGATATTAGACTTAAAGAGGCAAAGGTTTACACCTTAGACTTGTTTTCTGTTGCTCCAGAGCAAAATGGATTATTGTGAGCAGTACTACATCTTGGCCAAGTCTAAGAAAATTTGGGGCAGTTACCCGTCAGGAAAATAACAGAAGACATTCAAATCTTTTAAAGGCCATGATTCTGTTTATCTAGGAGCAGCACCGGTGTTTGTGGCCAACTAGAATTCTCTACACTCATGTAGAAGTCAAGATGACATGGTGACACTCCTGGTAGAGCATTCTAAACCTAGGTTTGAGAACCGAATTTATAAGTTACATTCAGTGCCAAGTTGACTGAATGCATTTGTGGCTGTTTCACAGGCTTCTTTTTGGGTATTTTAAGTGAGTATCAGAGTTAGATGAATAACATTTTCTCTTGTACCAAGTCGATGGGTATATTGAAAAACGTAACCAAGCCAAGGAACAGGGAAAGCTTAATGCAAGCATCTTGGAGTACTGCAAAAGTATTAGCTGCAGAGTCTTCCCCTTGCATTAAATGTTTGTAGAATAGTAATTTTTGTTTTTAATAAAGGCTAGACATAGGGATATTTGTTAGCATGGTTAGATACTGCTATAAATTAAATAACAGTTACAAATGCAGAGCAAAGATTTTAGTATTTTTTTTAACTTCAAGGGGAAATGTTAGTCAGTTGAATAAAAATGCATCATTTGCACAGCTGTCTACTAAATAAGTCACATGCATGTTGGGTAACTAAAATAGCATCTACAACTCTTTCCACAAGGGGCAGGAAAATAAAATAGAAACAGGAATTAATGTCTTTCTTTCTTTCCTTTTCCTTTTTTTTTTTTAACAGTTGGGAAATATATACCTGTAATCTGTGCTCCAAGAAAAACTCAAGCATTCACCCATCCTCTGAAAAATAGCGACTTAACTGTTAGGATTAATATTATTGTAATGGGCTAAGGGCTGGTATGTATTAAAATTATGGAATGATAGTAGTTTTTTCCTATAAGCAAATGATCAAGTTTGGACGATCTAAAACATCACCACTAAAAATGTGATTGTTTTATAGTTCAAATGCTTTGGATTACAAAAAAAAATAGAGAACTTAACCCAGTCTTAGAAAGATCACTTCGTATTTTGCTGAGAAAACTAAATCGCTCCTAAATGAACTTGCCAAGAATCTATGATGTGAGTCCCTGATGAAAATTCATTAAATAAAACTAAAAGACTCTATTCTCTCATTTTATGAATAAACAAAACCTGAAAAATAAGCCCTTTTAAAGACAGATTTTAAGAATGCCACATATACTTTCTGGTAGTATTTCTGCATCGTATGATTACACTTCTAAAAGCATCATAATGTACTGACTTATGAATAGTCTGAGCACTACAGCATCAATAGATAGGATAGAAAGAAGCAATGACTATAAGCAAGATAGTAAGAAAGAAAAGGAGAGAGGGAACCAGCAGATGGGATAATGGTTATGTCACTGGACTCCCACATGGCCAACTGCAGTTTTCGCCCTGGATATGGTGGCTTAAAACTGATGCTGGATGTGTGTGCATGTGTGCTCAAAATCCTGAGAGGAGAATGGAGAAGGGACTGTGGCATGGTCATCCCCCCGGAGGGTGATTTCTCACTTTCTGCCTCGCTTTCTCTGTCTCACTAGCAGGCGTATATACCCTCTATGTGTGCTCAAAATCCTGAGAGGAGAATGGAGAAGGGACTGTGGCATGGTCATCCCCCCGGAGGGTGATTTCTCACTTTCTGCCTCGCTTTGTCTGTCTCACTAGCAGGCGTATATACCCTCTAGCAAACTTCTCTCTCCTTAAAAAAAAAAAAATCTCACTACTTCATAGCAGCTTTAGTCAAATGATCTTTAAATGTTTGAAAGAAACCTATACTAATCAAACAGCCTCGTAAGAAAGTTTCATTCTAATTATCTGTCAAATAAATAACTAGACCTGAAATGTTCATGGTTGCACCATACTATTGCCTCATTCAGAACCAGGATTCCCAATTTGTTCTGTCCACTATTAAATTAAATAAATGAACAAAGCTAGACAATTCAATATACCACCTTCTGGCATAAGAATGTTTTCCTAGTTCAGGGTCTCTTGAGGTACTTCCAAAAGACAAGCAGAAAACTATGTGAATACCTTAAGATGGAAAATTTAGACTTCTCTGGATTTTGTTTTCTTGACATTTGGAGGAAAAAAATCTTTGAAATTTGTGGATTATTATTTACATAATGGACTCTTTAGTTGACTATTCATAGTAGGATAAATAAATGCTTTAAAAATAAGGCACAACTACGTGTTGCTCTCTGATGGTCTCTCATGAAAGTGTATCAGAAGAGCGATCCCAGGAAACTGAGGCACATCTTGCAGAGGTATACCTTTTTCAGTTTGCTGGTTTCCTACAGATGGCCAGAGCAGGGTAATGGAACAAGCTGTCATATTTCATTCATAAAACACATGTACTGTAGCGCTAGGCAACAGATGGACAATCACTTGTTTAAACTACAAATGTGAAACACTAAGGTAGAATAGCAATATTTCTAGAAATGTATATTTTTAAAAAGCCTTTCCGAGCCAAGAGGTGAGAGGCTGTGAGGTTACATCCGTGTTTCCCTGATCTCCCTAGCAGCTGCCATCATTTCCCCAACACCCTTCAAAACTCGATAATGGAGGGAACAGGGGGCAGCCAACACAGATTTGACAAGGGGAGGCCAAACCCTATCAAATAGAAATAACACTGTTATTCCTGACTGGTTCACATTAAAAGGATTTTTACTAACTAGGAAAATGGCTGGAAGTTGTGCTTTCAGGGTCCTGTTTCTATTTCATGAAGTCTCTCCGACAACCACATTGGAAAAAAATCATTTCTTCCTCTGGACTCACATATACAATACATGTTTAAATGTGGTTAGAGTTTTATATCATTTAAATATCACCATAAACATTTCTGCAGAATCTTTCTTAGAACAGTGACCGTGTTGATAAGTCCACCTCATTAATCATCATATGCCCAATGAAGAACTTTTGAGAAGTGGTTCTACAGAGACAATACGCCAATGACAAGAAAAAGAACCCGTATCTTTGAGCTACAGAGATGCCAGCATCTCAGTCTGATCATAGGACACATGGCTTATTTTTGACTTGTAAAGATAAGATTCTACAATGAAGCCATCTGCGCTGGAGATGTAAAGAATTAAGAAAACTTATTTTGAAATGGTCTGCAGAGCTCATGACAATAGTGGGTTCTTTTCCTTTTACATGTCTCCCAAGTTACCATGGAATCATTGAGGATTTGTGTTTTGGACGATTTTTAAAAACCAGCATATTGTTACAAGCTTTGTTACAGACTTCATACTTTTTTCTAGTGTTTATACATTTCAATGATAACAATCACGACGCATCAAATACCATGCGAGTGTCACGATTAAGGTAATATTACCTCTGTATCACTGTTATAGGCAAAATTTCATGTAAATAAAACAGTCAAGAGTGATTTGGCATAGCTTACATCAAATGATTACTAGAAAAGACAAGAAAGAACTATAAGTCATATATTTAAGAAATCCTGGAGTAAAATATGGCAGGATCCTTTCCTTACACTTTGTGGGAAAAAAAAAAATCTAAATCTAAATTTTCTGCATATGTATGTGTGCACATTCATTATTATAAAAGGATAAGTGTATATTAAAAAGAGATTTACTTTCAAAGTCTTTGGTAAAGATCCTCTGAGGTTAGGTGACAGGGATGCACTAAAGTTTGGAAGCAAGCAGTGTTCTGCTGGTGATGCCACGGTGACAGCATTTTCTTATACTTTTTCTTTTGGCATATAAACATTCAGCTATATAAGGACTTAAATGTAACACACGAGTAGAATGTTATTGCATTTTTATAGTATAAATATTTCATACATTCTTCCTCTTTTGGCAAAATTGATAATAATATGACTGCACTTCAAAAGATAAAATCTATCTCACAATAAATTGCCCTCTACGGTTAGCCCACAGAAAATTTTACCCAAGTATGTCATAGAAAACAAGTGACTGAATCGACTCGGCAGATGATAGTCCCATCCCAATTATGTAATAGGTGGTGTTCGTTGAGTCATCAGCACGGTTTGGCTTTTAATTTGGAAGACAGGAATTTAGAGACCCAGTCACCACTGCATTCTGAAAACTCAAATGCTACCCCTAAGTGAATCTCATTATATTTCACATTATGAAAAATGTGAGATCAAGGATGAGAGAAGAAAAGGAAGGTGGTCGAAGGAAGCTCTTAAAAGCTATCACGTTGGTGGTTCCCACATACAACAGTTACAGAGTAAATGAGCCACAGATTAAGTTAGATGAGCTATCCTGACCATAAGCTTAAGAATTTCTTGTTTTTTTAAAAAATCACTTTTATAATTATTTCTATTCAAGTAAAATATATTTAATTGGAATTCCTGAGGCATGGATTGTGATTCAAAACATGCACAAATAATTTTTTATTGCTATTCTGAACGTTAAAATTAAACATTAAAAAATTAGACTAGAAAGCTATCACTTCATAATTGTGAAAAAGATACTTGTGAAATAAGGGAAGGGGTACAGGGGAATGTAACTACATCTGTTACATTTGATTTTTAAGCAGGGTGTTAGGCATATAGAAATTCATTATATTATAATTTATACCTTTTTGTATACTTAAAATACTCCATAATTTAAAGGTATATACTTGCAGAATATTTGAAGAAAGGTTTAAGAAATCTCAATCCAAAGTACTCAATTAGTTTACAAAGTGGCAATATGTTATTACTAAGCTAGGCGTTTCTCGTTAAATGAAAGATGTTAGAACTTAATAACTGTGGTTCTGCTCTTGGCAAGCCAGGGTTTCACTGGCTAATAAGAGTTTGAATAAAGAGTCTAGGCAGAGACTGCATATTTTTAGCTCAGAAAGACAATTTTTTTTTTCAGTGATTGTCTTTTGAAAGTGTGGTTTAAATGTCACATCGATGATATGAAAATTCTCCTGCAATATGTAATTTGAGTTACAGAAGGATGATGACAATAATAAAACCGTGGTTTCACCATCGTTTCAAGCTCTCCTCTTTTCAAGGTAAACTAAACAATGCTACATCATTTTATGTTGCGTACGCTGATTTGTGATTGTCAGGCAAGAAGGCCTTGGAGCTCAGGGGAAAAAAAAGAAAACACAAGAACATGACTGTTCCTTATACCTATCTTCCTCTGGGAAGAAAGTCAGTTTTGATAGCTATTTTTGGATATTAGGAAAAAAAAAAAAAAGACAATATTTCTGAAGGGAAAACTGGAATGGTTGGGAATGCTGTATTCTAGAGAAAGCCAAGTTTGTCCGCATTATTAAGTCCAGGTAGTGTAGAAAGGGAAAATTTCAAGGTAATATTGTGGTATAATAATGGGCTTTTCAAAAACATACCCAAAATGCTCACCCCACTGTAATTCCTTTAGAAAACATTGAAACTTAGTTCTCTTTCAGCACTCATTAACTATGGGCCGATAACTGTTTTCTAAGGAGCTGTGACTACTGGTCACTACAGATTTAGAATTTGGATAGTTGCAAATTAAATTTGGGCTCCTTTTCATTTATGTACTTTACAACTTAAATTCACTATAGCCTAACATAGAAATTGTGGATTTCTTCCCTCAGGGACATGACTGGTGTGTGGCAACAGAGAACGATACTTTTCAGTACACAGCAGACGAATGGCTAACCTTTACAATCACAAGCAACGTGCCAGTGATAGGATGGAGACTTCAAGCCTAAAAGCACCTGTGACTTGGCAGCCTCACCCAGGAAAAACTGTGTGACAGCAAATACCACATGGAAAAAAATGCCATTCCACCAGATGAAAAGTGAGACAAACACAGGGATTAAAAGTTACAGGAATGCAGAAGTGAATGGGCTGGAGCGTAATCTGTGCAAAAATGTGGAAGTCCTTGGGAACAAAGGCCCATCCGGGTCCTACGTGATTAAATGTGAAATGTGTATTTGGTAACAACTTAAAAAAAAAAATCTCATAATCTATGTGTTTCTAAAGAAAAATCCATAGCCGATGAAGAAAAGAGCCCATCCCACAGCTTGGTTGCCTTTTCTCTATTATTCTATTTTCTTGTTTTTCTTTTCTTGATGTTTTGCTTTCGCAGCACCATCCACTAACCAGCTAAGCAGGTGACTGAATCTAAAGGTCAGTGCTAGCCTTGGCGGTCAGCACCCGGATGCGGGCGGAGTTGCAGGTCTTGCAGAGGATGTGTCCATCCAAGGGGTAGCAGCCTTGGTTATCTCCCTCAGACAGGAGACCACCACAATCCTAGAAAAATGGAGACAGAGGGAAACAACGTAAGTGACAACGTAGAGTACTTACGTGAAGACTGAATTCCTTGCCTTTTCATTCAAGGCCTCCATGATGAAGGTCACTTAACAGAAAATATAGGTAGGGGGAGAGAAAACTCCTCCCACTAAAGCAATAGCAGTAATGAGAAAAAATAAGAGCAGATCCCTGAGCACTGATTCATCTTTACCTTTATCATTGGTTTAAGGATCTCTCAAAAGGAATACACAGGTGCAAGAATGAAAAATTTTGGTTCTTTCTGGGCTAAAGCAAAGTGACTCCTGGCAAGGGCACGGATGGGTTCTGCATATTTACTACAACTGTAATAAGAAAACAAAATCCGGGACCAGCAGTTAGCATAATGGCTATGTTGCCGAACTCCCATGTAGTTAACTGTAGTTCAAGTCCTGGACCCGGTGGCTTAAATTCACACTGGCGCATGTGCGTGTGTGCCCAAGATCCAAAGAGGCGAATGGAGGAGAAGGGATTGCAGCATGGCCATCCCCCCACGGGGAGTGGGGGTGGGCAGTGACTTCTCACTTTCTGTCTCTCCGTCTCTTTCTGTCTGGTGAGTGCATGTGCCCTATAGGAACAAAAAAAAAAGCAAAAACAAAACAAAACACCTCTCCAAAAAAAAAAAAAAAATAGATAAAAAGAAAACGAAATCCTAAAGCTTGCTTGGAACATTGGTTTGTTGTACTTTCTACAGGAGAAAGCCTGGTTCAGAGGAATGAATGCTAGACTGGGAGGAACGCCCCTGGGACACCACCCTCAGCTCCACCATTGCTTGCGTCACTGCACACATGACTGATTGCCTCTCTGAAATAATTCCTGCACTTTCTACCTTACCAAGCTGCTGAGAGGATCAAAGAGGATAATGGATGTGAATATACTTTGAAAAAATGCAAAGAGCTGGATAACTGTAAAGGATTATGCGGTGGTTGACAGCACCTCTGAGAGTCCATTTTGGAATTGTTATATAACAGTTAGATTCTGGCCCCGGCTTTGGAGAAAATGAAAGTCTCTTTGGAAAATAAACACACTGCACACTTTACCTAGTGGTGTGTGTGCTCTCACCAATGTTAGTGGAAAAATGAAAAGGCCACAACCGGGGCAAGCCTCACTCCACTGTCTACCACAGGAGCAAGGAGGTCAATGGAGCTCATATCTGCATTTGACAATCAGCTCAAGCAGGGTATAGGGCATTGCTCACCCAGAGCACAACAGCAACCGTTACGCTGTGAGACAAGTTTGGCTTTACCAAAAAGACCAAGTGTCTGCGCTGCAGCTCTAGAGACATTCAGGAAACTGAGCATAGAGCTAAATAAAATCTTTTCGATACGATAAAAAGAAAGAAAGAGGGGCCAGCAGGTGACGTGGTGGTTAAGGCGCTAGACTCCCACATGGCTGACTGTAGTTCAGGTCCTGGACCTGGCAGCTTACTTTCTCACTTTCCCTCTCTCACTCACTCTCTGGTGAGTATATGAGCCCTATAGTGAATTAAAAAATAATAATAAATAATAATAATAATAATAATAAATAATAATAATAATAATAATAAAATAAATAATTCTAGAAAAAGAAAGAAAGATATTTCTCAGGTAGCAAGCTTCTAAGCCTTTAATGAACTAACATGTGAGGTCCCCTGGGCATCTGAAAGGGCCCAGAGTTGACCACAGTATTGGAAGGAAGCATCAAGACTTTGAACCTCAAAACAAAATACAGAGCATTTAGTACAAAGTCTCCTGGTTGAACTACAGAAACCAATTTCTTGAAAATGTAGTGGTAAGGCAGCCCGCGTCATCCTTCACAGGTGGAGGAAGGGACTGAGAATTGCTGTCTCCGAAGAATTAGTAGAAAACTGCATTAAAGGAAGGGAGGTCTGGGTAATTAATGGAATCATGCCATAAAAACATTTTAAAATCATTATCTGAATGTGATACCCTTTAGGCACCCGAATTATAGGGGGAAAGACTTGCAGTCTTAATGACTCCATGTCCCTTAGGCTTCAGCTGTCCATTCTGAGAAGACTTCCTTGCCCCGTCCAGCGTAGATTCCCACAGCACTTGTGCATAGCTCTCCACTAGCCCTGAGCAGTCATCTGACCCCCTGTCTTAAGTGTTCAATCAGTGCTTGCTAATGAATGATTCCTCCATGCCTTTGGAAAAGTTCCAACTGCTCTGAAATAAATTCTTATCATTCTCAGTTGGTGACAACGGCACCTCTGCCCCATAGGAGCAGAGCAGTTGACCCACGCATCAGAGCCCAAGTTAAAGATTCAGTATAATCCTAACAATGACAGCAACACTATTTCTCCCCAATTTACCAACTGACAATATAGGATGACCTTTAATAAACCATTTTATATTTCAGTCTCACTGCTGTATCTGGCAAAGTTAAAACTTGGAGTCCATCGTAAGGGTGGGGAAACTGACTGCGAGAAGTAAAGGGATTATCCAAGTTTACTTGACGAATGTCATGTGAGATCTAAAACCAAGTCCTAAGAACACAGGCCTGTCCCACATTTAATAACTGCTAAGTTATGAAAACCCAGTTCTATGCCTGCCATGTACTGGCAGGGCAAGAATGCCCTGGCCACGGACCTCACACCGGTAGCAGTGAACGTGGAAATCACGATCCAGGGCCACAATGCGGACGGTCTCCTCCTGGCCTGGGGCTGGCATGATAGGCTCCTTGCACACAGAACATCGGGGGGCAAATTTCCTGAAAATGGAGAGATATCTCTGGTTAGATACTGAGCAGAGACACCACCAAGGCATGAAACACAGAGGTTAAAGGAAACGTGTAAACTGAGAGTCAAGACCTCTGGCGTCCATTTCTGTGTGAACGTGAACAAGTTACTTCCCCTCTCTGGGTCTCTTCATCTGTACACAGAGGGAGTTGCACGGCATGGCTGTTGAGGTCTTTCTATGTAATAATTATTGTGATGTTTGATGCAATGAGTGAGTGAGTACTTGAATGACCTTTGCATGAAATGCACCTTTACCACAGAAACTGGTATTTAGTATGGAATCCACCTTGAGATAGTATATGGCTTGAGTGTATTCCCAAAGTTCATGAGTTGAGATTCGGTTGTGATGGGATTAAGAGGGTGAAAACTTAATCTAATTATGGAATTGGGAGGTAAGATCTTGGGGAAAAGATCAGGATTAAGGTCATCAGGGCAGGGGAGCCATGGCTAAGTTCTGGGGGGCTCATAAGGAGGGAGAAGACCCGATCAGAGAGACCGTGAGCACAAAGACCTGTCCTGCTCTCACCCCCTGATGTGATGCCTAGGGATTCTGGAAACCTATCCCTGGACCTAGATCTGGAAACCATGAGCTGAATAAACTCTATTATAAATCACCCACCCAGTTTCAGGTATTTTCTGTTATTAGCAACAAAATGGACTAAAACAAATAGATTCCTAACAAATCCAGGGCTTGGGAATGGATAACTGGTGGGGAGAAGGAAGATCCTAGAGTCTCTCTACTTCTTTCTGACTTTTGCGTCTAACCTTTTATCTGCATTCCTCAGGCCCTAGAGAAATATTTTGAGGTTGGTATCTTTGGCTCATAGCCACCTTCTATTTATTTTTTAGGTTTTTGCCATAGTGGGCATGCACTTGCAGAAAGTGGGAAAAAATAAGAAATCACCCTTCAGGGGGGATGGCCGGGCCACAATTCCTTCTCCTCCACTCTACTCTCAGGATTTGGGGCATATATATGAATACATATATACAAAAATATACATACACATATAAATATATTTTTGATGCTGGTGGTGAAAAATGTCAATATTTCTTAATTCCTTAGTAAATCTTGATATGAATGATGGTCTCCAACAATGACTTAAATCATAACATTAATAGGCTGCAAATATAAGCCATGTACATACATCCGTATATTCTAGAAAGTTGAGTATCTGTGAAGGTGTCAAAGGGGACATGATTTGAAATGGACATAGATACGAACTGAAGAGATACCAAAAAAAAAAAAAAAAGAAGAAGAAGAAAAAGAAAAATACTGCAGAACTCAGCTTTCTCATGGTAATGGTTTTAAAATTAATGATGTTAAAATTTATCTATTTGTAGTGAGACTTAAAAAGAAATAATGATAGTCATCTAATACTTTGCAGAGCACTTTATGGTTGTCAAAGCATTTTTACATACATTATACTCTATATGTACATATTAATTTTCCTGGCAGCACTCAAAAGGCATCTGTATGGCTGCAATCTAAATAAATATGAATTAAGCAGCAGATCAATTGATTGCTATGAAAGAAAAATTAAAAGGATCATGGTACAACTGTAGCAGTAATCAGAGTTGTTATAATTGGTATTTTATGCGAGAAGTTTATATTCAGTGGCAAAAAATTGCTTTGGACTACCTGATTATTCCTGAATCTGGGTCATCTGTTGTGAAATAAGCAAGCTTCTGGGATCAACTGCAAAATTTCCTTACTCCAAGCCCTTTGGGACTATAGAATCTGTGAGAGTAGGAGTGTGTTTTGTCTACCACAGTATCCATAAACCTTCCCCAACTTCCCCAAGTAGAATTACTTACTCCTCCAGGATACATTTTTTAATTGAATTTACCTATTTGGTAGTAATTATTTGCATATCTTTGGAGACCATTAAACCGTGAGCTTTCAAAGGACAGAACTTAGCTCCATCTCTGAGTCTCCAGTAACAACCACTGTGACAGATGCAGAAAGAAATTTGGGCTACGTCTAGTGAGTGAAAAGATATTAACGGGACGAGCAGATAGCATAATGGTTACGTCGCTGGATGCCCACATAGTCAACTGTGGTTTGAGTCCCAGACCTGGTGACTTAAAACTCATGCTTGGTGCATGTGTGTGCGTGTCCAAGATCCCGAGAGGAGAATGGAGGAGAAGGGATTATGGCATAGCCATCCTCCCTGGGGTGTGATTTCTCCCTTTCTGTCTCTCTGTCTCTTTTTGTCTCTCCAGCAAGCACACATACCTTATAGCAAAAATCTCTAAAAAAAAACATTAGCTGGGGGAACCAGCAGTTAGCGTAATGGCTATGTTGCTGGACTCCCACATAGTCGACCGCGGTTCGCGTCTCGGACCCGGTGGCTTAAATCTCACGCCGGGCGTGTGTGCGTGTGTGCCCAAAATCCCGAGAGGAGAATGTACCTTATAGCAAAAATCTCTTAAAAAAGACATTAGCTGGGAGTCGGCGAGTTGGGCAGTGGTGAAACGTGATGCTCTGCAAGGCTGACCACATGGGACGACTCTGGCTCCGTGTCCAGAGACAACCCAGAGTCCTTGGGTATATGCTTGTGCCGTGGTCCAGGCTGGCTGAGGCTAGAGGTAGATGGTAGGTCCAGACTCTATTGGGGGTAATGTCTCTCTTTCTGATTGCCCCTGTCTTTTCATGGAAAAAATAATAAACTTAAAAAAAGAAAACTGCTAGTTGGGTCTTTTTGTTCAGTCTCAAGGTCTTTCCTCTTTGTAAACAAACTATATTCTTGCTGAGTAATAATTCTTTCCTACCCATTGGTTTCATTTCCATGAAGAGAAAAAAGCAAAGCAAAGAGATGGGGGTGGTTCTCAGGGCCCCCCATGGTGTTCTTCAGCGGGCAATTTGAGGAGCGCTTGAAATCCCGGGTGGTCCATGTCAAGGATTAGCTCACTGAGTGGACAACAACAATAAAAGTGAATTTGATGAAAACACTTCTGATGATTAAAGCTGCAATTTATTGAGTGTTTATTATGAGCCAAGCCCTGCTAAGCTCTTTACTCACTCGACATTATTTTCTACTGACAGCAATATTACAAGGAAGTACTTTTATCATTTCTACTTCAGAGCCAAGGGAGCCACGGCTCTGAGAGGGATGATCTTAGTCATCTTGTATCCTGGCACATTTTAGCAATCAACAAATGGATGCTGATTAAACAAATCAAAGGATGAGGGTAACCTCCCTGAGAGGAACTCACTGAGTGCAACAATGTCTCAACACCCTGGAAGGGCCAGTGAAATGAGCCTGTTTTTCCGGGTTTCCTTACTGTGTTGACTCTGGAACACAGGAATGGACAAGGAGCCCAACACGACCCGAGAGGGAGTTTTGTCTAATTCTGTATCTGTTTTATTTTTGTACAAATGCATATCCTATATTATTGCAAGAATGATTAAAGTGCTTACTATAAAATGGTGTGTGTGTGTGTGTGCGTGTGTACACACCCATATGTCAGTACTAGTTGGACTGTGGTGAGTGCCACCCACAGCACTTATCAAAACACAGAGAAGGAGACGCAAATTCAAACGTGGGGCTAGAGAGGGGCTGAAATCAGAGGTCTCTTAGAGGAAATGTTCACTGAGTTGGACCTTTAAAGATCCTAAGTGGATTTAGGTAAAGTGGGAAAGGGTGCATGTGTACATGAGTGTGCATGCATGTGCGTGTGTGTGTTGGGGGAAAAGGGAGAGTCAGCCTGCCATGGAAGTGAGTTTGCAGCAGGTCTGAAACAATGCCTGTGAATGAGTTCATGCCCAGTAGGCTAGAGGACAGGACCAAAAAGGTGACACAAGGGATGGCCTGTTAAGGAACATCAGAAATAGTACCTCAGAAGCTTGTTAACTCAAAGGGCAGGCCAAGACCACCTGGGAGCTTGTTAGAAATGCAAAATCTTAGGTCCACCCTGACCTAGTGAATCAGGTTCTTGGAAGAAGTTGAACAAGATCGCCCTGTGAACTGTAAGCACATTAACGTTTGGGAAGCACTCTTTAAAAGGCAGGATGCTAAGCAGGTGAGTTAAATCCCTTCTCATGGGTCTCCTGTATCCACAGGAACCTGGGTTCCCAGGCTCCTCCAGTTACAGCAAAGCAAATCTTCCTGCATGCAGAGAACCTTTACTTAACTCCATGCCCCTGCCTTGTGTTTCAGGTGTTCCCTCTGCCAGGAAGCTCCATATTTCTCACTTAAAATGCTTTTCAAATTTTGCTTCCAGAAAGCCTACCCTAGTCCCAGAGCCAAATAATCCCTCCTGACTGGGACAGTACGAACCCTTCTCTGTGCCCTTCTCATGGTGTTCTCTGCCTTCCTCCTGGCAAACTCCATGCTGACAGGAGCTTCTCTCTCTCTCCTTACATGTGCAATTTCTCTCCTCGTGTCTCTTAGCATTTAGCACAGTAATTAGCACAAAGAGGGTCGTTTGGGTTGAAATGAATTGTAGTACATGTCCTGAATTCATCCATGGTCTAATGGTTTGGGCAGCTGGGTCCATGCAGTTTGGGTCCCGGACCCAGGGGAATGAGAAATATGCCAGGCACATGTGCATGTGTGCCCCGAATCCTGAAAGGAGGGTGAGATGGAGGGGAAGGGATTATGGCATCACCATGCCCCATAGAGGGGGAGAGCCTTCTCACCACCTTCCCCACCGCCCTGAGTGCACACATCCTCTGGCAAAATCAAAACAAAGAAAAAAGAAAAGAAATACACTTCCTAAAAGCCCACAAAAAGAGAGCCATTCAGAGGGACCCCTGAAAAAGCCCACAGAACACGGGTGGAGGAGAAGGCTGTATCCCTGTCTCTCTCCCCCTTTGGCCTACCCTGTGCCAGACTATCAGCTGTTCTGTGTTCTAGCACTTTAAAGGCTCAGGAAAAAAAAAAAATCTGTAACAATGTTACCTTATTTATATTAGCACAAAATATATTTTAACATGTATTAAACTAGTGAGGCAGGGATAGAGGGGAGCTCGAGGGTTTTGTTTGTTTGTTTCCCTTTTCAGTTGCTCAAGTCTGCTTTTTATGGAGCCTTCAGACCCACACACTTTGGTCCATAATCTCAAGTCTCTAGCCCTAAAAAGGAAAGCTCAGTGGCACAGATGTAAACTTGCATTTGTGGGAACGGGTTTCCTGTTCTAATGGAGGGGTGCAATTTATCAGTCTTTCCCAGCAAAGAATGTGTGCCCTGATTCCCTCTCAGTCTGTTTGGATTAAGGTAATTCTGAGCAAGGGGCGAAACAGTGACAGAAACACACTCCGCATTGGTATCTTTTCACTTCCCTTAAATAGATGCGGGGCTCTTTTTTAAGTGTGTAATTACAAGCTAAAAATATCAATAATGTGAAGTGCAATTTATGCTGTGACTGCCCTTTAAAAGCGAGCCTTTCCTTGTCTAATTCAGGTTGAGAATTTCTGCCTTTGGGGTTTTTTAATTCATTCAGCCTCACGCCTTTGGGTGAGGTTTTCACTTTCTTTACTGCTTAGAAAGTGGTCAGGAAATTCATTTTTAACATATGAGTCTCAAGTCCCCAAACCGCTGTGGTAAGTACCTCTGGGTTGCTGACAATCAACGGAGAGGTGAAATTAACCCAGAGGACAGCGTGTTTGGAGGACATGGAACGGATATGCAGTGGTGAGGAACGTGAGTGTCGTCTCTTTGACGGTCTTACAGACTGTCCTCAGACCTGCTGCCCACACGAGGCAGAGAGCCCGTGTCTACCATGCACAAACACTCCAGAGCTGTCATGCAGCCCTGAGAGTCACACAGCAAATGTGACCACCCCATCAACCAACGAAAACTGGCCAAATAAAAAGAAGCAAAACGGTACAACTTATAAGAAAACCCCACGATGGTAGAAGAAATAGAGATCTACACAGAATGGAAGTGAGCAAGTGGGGATGTATTTCTTCAGGCCCACGACTAAGTGACTGGAAGCCTCTCCTTTCTCATCTTTCTCAGAAAACAAAACAAAACAAAACAAAACAAACAAACAAAAACCTGCAACAGACTGTACTAATTACACTAGAAAACTGTCCTGAGGAAGAGATCTGGAAGGGAAACGGGGCTGGGGAAGGGCACAAATGTCAACAATGACTTGAAACTGCCTCTCAATACGTAGAGGTGTACATTAGTAAGAGGGACTGAATTGTTCTCTGCGTCTCCCCATCGGAGGCACCTCTCTGCAGACTGGCAGGCACGTGGAGGCCAGCACTCCGAGAGCCCGGCCCAGGGTCCTGCCTCTTTCAAACATGTACACTCTGTGGCTGAATTTTTTCCACAATTAGGGCCACACAAAAATGCAATGGATAATCCCCAGAGAACCTTGAAGCCAAGGCTAAACTGACCCTGACATTAATACTGCATTGGATGAGGGGATAAATAATTTCTATTCAAGGTTTTACTAAACCTTGAGCTTTTATAGCTGAGTAAGAATAATGTGCAGCCCAGACAGTGCTCAGTAAGAACAGACTTAGGAAGACCGGAGGCGGGAGAGCGCAGGCTGAGCAGGGAGAGTAGGTTGCTTACTTGTGGAAGTCCTCAATGCAGTGAATGAGTCCTCCAGCATCCACAGTGAAGGGGATCCCATCCAGGCTGCGGCGGCACATCACACAGGTGAAGCAGTGAGGGTGATAAGCCTTCCCGGTGGCTCGGAGAATCCGCTCCATGATGGGCTTGGAACACACATTGCACTGCTCCAGAGTATTCTGAGGAAGAAGAGAACCAGTTAACATCAGGCTGGGAGTCGGGGAGCTCTTCCAGCATGACAAGCTCGTCTGTAAAGTCCAGGGGGCTCACGGGCTCCCTGCAGCACCTGGGAAAGGCAGACTCTGTCAGAGAGAAGGAGACACAGTTAGGTGGGACGGGCGGCTCTTCTACGCGCAGGTGATAGGCAGCAAATCCAGGATTATAACGCTGCTTTCTGACTTCCACCCTGTTCCTTTCCATTATATCGAGGATTATGCCAAACTGCTGTAAAGGTCACTATGGCGAATATTTCTGGCTTTATGAGAACAACTCACTTTTGCCATTGTAGTGCGAAGGCTGATGGAGACAGCACATAAACAGTAAAACTTTATTTATAAAAGTAGGTGGGGGCTGAATTTGGTCCATGACTTTTATTTTTATTTATTATGTTTATGTTTGTACCACAGGGAGCGTGTGGTCACCGAACAAAGATGGACAGACAGAGAGAGGGAAAGTGAGAAACCATTCCCCGCTCCTGGGGCCTGGAAGGATGGCCACATCACGACCCCTTCTCCCAGGACCCTGGGCATGCATGCACATGCGCTCTATGTTATTTTCAAGTCGCCAGGTCTGGGGCTCGAACCGTGGTCAGCCATGTGGGAATCCAACACTTTAACTTCCATACCATCTGCTGCCTACCACCCCCACCCTCCACCCTTGGCTGTTTTTATTTGTTGTTGACCTCTGAACTGTACTAACCATTTTCTCCACTTGAAGAACACTATTTACTTCTAAACATGATGGTGTGTTGGTTATGTTGCTAAACTCCCACATGGCTGTAGTTTGAGTCCTGGACCCAGTGGCTTGAAAATCACACCAGGCATGTGTGCATCTGTGCCCAAGATCTCCAGAGGAGAATGGAGAAGGGATTGCTGTGTGGTTATCCTCCCAGCGACACAGTTTCTCACTTTCCCTCTCATTGTCTTTGACCCCATCCCCCAGCTTACATGCCCTAAGGAAAAAAAACTCAAAACAAACAGAACAAAAAGCCTGATTCATCATCAAAGACCTAGAACAGTCACTGAGACTGCCAACTGTTTAGAATGGTCTCTGTGAATACAGGTCCAAATCAAAGCTGGCATAATCAACGAGGCTGCTGATCACCGAAAGCCTTGATTAAACAGCATCTCCGGGTTTAGAGTTTATGCATTCAGAGCCAGAGAGCAGAGCGGCAGTGATGCAATTGGACCCACATGGGAAGGGGTCCGGGTTTGGGTCCCGGGAACTTCCCCAGCAGGCTAGGGACCGCTGGGTGCCTGGTGGGCCGGCTGAGACCGGGGTCGATTGTATCTTGGAGACCTGAGACAGCCACCTGTCTTTCCTCTCTTTCTTTCATAGAAGAAATAAGCATTTTAAGTAATAAAGAATTCATGAACTCTTGTCATTAATTGCCAGAGGTGTGCACACTCACCAAGACAAAGAGCAGGAGAGAGAGCGAGAGAGCGAGAGAGCAAGAGAAAGAGAGAGCCTCCAGTGGGCATGGTCATGCTGCAATCCCTTCTTCTCCATTTTCCCATCCCATGATTTGGGACACAAGCATACATGCTAGGCAAGCTTTATAAGCCACCGGGGCTGAGATGTAAACCACAGTTGGCCATGTGGGATGCAGTTCCCTCTGCATAGGGCTTAATGACTACACTAATGGGGCTGATGCAGCTGCATGAACTCATGATGAAAATGTTGAACTAGAGGGGCTCTGGTTTAGAAAAGTGAATTAAGAAAGTCATTAATTTACTTTATATGTAAGCTGAGTTTTAAAAATACCGGGCTAGCCTGAGGCATGATGTTGTTAAGGCAGCTGGAGCCTATAATAGATGATTGTGTGGTTCAAGTCCTGGACCTGGCAGCTTGAGGAACATTCTGGGTGTGCGCATGTGTGTGCATGGCCCAGATTCTGAAAGGTAAGAGAAACAGAAGAGAAGGAACTGTGGCATGATCACTTCTAGGGGTTGCTTTCTCTGCCTCTGGCACTACCATACATACTACCATTAAAAGAGATGCCACTGGAGCTGGCAGGTGACGTGGTGGGTAAAGGCACTGGATTCTCACATGGCCAGCCACGGTTCAAGTCCTGGACCTGGTGGCTTGCTTTCTTGCTTTCCCTATTTCTCTCTCTTTCTGTCTCTGTCTCTGTTCAAATTAAATAATAATAATAACAACAACAACAAATGGAATTAAATAATTCTTAAAAAAAAAAAAAAGATACCACTAAGTGAGTCAGGATTCAGAAAGATTAACTGCTAACTTTTCATCCTTCCCTAGGATCCCATACTCTTAGCAAACAGCCATGTTTCATGTGTAATAGGCCATGTACCACAGAGCTCTCTGGCCTGCCTCTCTGGCTGTACAGTCTGGGATGTGAAACTGATTAGAAAGCTGCAAGCCTAGGTGGGGTGTGGAAATGAAGAAGCAACTGCCCTCTAAGCATGAGAATCGCTAAATGGCTGGAGGTGAAAGCACTGAATTCTGGTCGCTAGGATCCTGATAAGTGACCTAGGCATCAGTGGCCCCTGACTCGACTTCCCGTTTGCATCCTTCCCCCTGTAATCCTTTTTCCCAACATGCCTCCAGCATCCTTTCCAAAGCACAGATATAAAACCAGGGCCCTTTCCTGAAGAGAAACATTAGAAACATTAGCTCTACAATATAAAAGGGTTCATTCCTTCCATATCGACCTCCGTTTCTAGGCTTTGAATATCTCAGAGATCTCACTCTTGTTCAAAGCTGTAAGAAACTCCCATACTTCTGTGCCTTGGCTAATGCCTGCATGTATCACAATTTGCCATTTTGATCTTTTAAGGTACAGACCATAAGGCAACTCCTCAGTGACGCCTTTCTCGATGGCCCTGGCTGGAATAAATTGCCTCTTTCTCTCCCCTTCTTGAGTACTTTATTTACTTTGTACACCACACACTCAGAGTGTTACGTTTATTAAAAATTATCTACGCAGGGGCCAGCAGATGGCACAGTGGTTACGTTGCTGGACTCCCACATGGCTGACTGTGGTTCAAGTTCTGGACCTGGTGGCTGGAAAACCATGCCAGATGCATGTGTGTGCATGTCTCAAATCTGAGGAGAATGGAGAAGAAAGGATGATGGCATGACTGTCCCCCCTGGGGAGGCAACTTTTCACCTTCCCTCTCACTGTCCCTGTTTCTCTCCAGCAAGCGCATGTGCCGTAAGGGAAAAATCTCTTAAAATATTATCTACAAATATGTCTAGACTGCAGTTTCATTAAGGGCAGGAACTACATCCTATGAATGCAATGGTCTGTCCCATAATGCAGCCTGTACTGTCTGGGCTGAGCCACGATTGGCCCCGCCTAGGTGGTGTAGCTTATAAAATGCTGAGCGTGAGTTCAGAGCTCTGTACTGGCCTGAAAACACACTAGGTGCTAAACTTCTGAGAAGCAGGAGGGCTAGGGAAGGAGGATCCTTACCTGACAAGACCCGTTGAGAGTGCTTTCTCTTTCTCTCTCTCTTTCTCATGTACTATCATTAAAATAACAAAACAAAACAAAAGGCTGGGATGAATGCAGAAAGAATGAACAAAGGCATTTGTTTCCATCCTAACCAGGCAGCACCATGCTGGCCCCAGAGCCCTGGCTCTGGAATCCATCCTGAGATGAGTTGGTAAATCCACCCTCCTCCTCTTCTCAAAGTGTGGTTGCCTGAGGTTCAGAAATTGCTTGGTATGCTTCTGGTCACAGTCTAAACTCGTGGAAACTATTAAGCTCCCCTCCTCCCCAACCTATTTTGAAGTGGTGAAATTAAAATAGCAGAAGGGCATAGGATGAGGGCCTGGAGAGGGCGGTGGTCTGGAGAATGAGAGCCCAGCTTCTTTCCACCCTGACGATCTGAGTTAATGTGGCTGGAAATGGTCTTCCCAGGGCTTGCGTTTTGCTCCTCTGTGGGTTTTAACTTTTTTCTTTTTTAAAGCCAGCTCTGTAATGGAGTTGAACAAACCAGAAAATGTTTTGTTTGCATTGAGGCTTGGCAGTAAGATTCAGCTCATTTACTGAAAACCGGCTGCAACATATAAGGTCCAGCCCGTTCCTAAGGAAAGATGTTATGGTCTATGGATGCTCAGTTCAAAACACAGGTAATCTGAACATTTTTGCTACAAAGGAAAAAAAAATGTGAAAAATAGGCCTAAAATGAGTCTCCTGCAAAAATGCCCCCAACTCAGAAAGGAAGGTTCCAAGAACGCAGCTGCCTCTCGGCTTGGGCTAGTGAGTGGTGAAGGAGTAGGTGTTAACCCCCACGAGCCAGGCCTTGTTCCAGTCCTCCTCCCCGATCAGCCTCCAGCTGGCGCACTGGACACTTGGACATATCTTCCCTTAGAGAAAGGAGAGGAACTCCCAGGATGTGAATGAGGAGGGTGGCGGGAGTTCCTTTAGCCGGGCTCGTGTTTCATAGGTGAGCAGTAGACCTGGAGAACTGATTTGTCTGGACCTGAGTCATGGCTGGACCTGAGTCATGGAGCTTATGTGGGCAGAAGTGGGAGTGGAACTGCAGTTTCCAGAGTTTCAGTAATTCAGACAGGGAGCTCACAGATTCAGTATGTGGTCACAGAGGGGCAGCTGCCAAATGAAGAATATGATTTGTCCTTTGGCTTTGTCAATACCCACTGTATGCCTTTAGGGAAATGATTTCTTCTCACTGGTCTTGAGATTTCTCATCTGTAAAATGATAATTCCAACTCTGCAATTATTATTACTCTGTGATAGTTTAGTATTAACAGCTTAGAGAAAAGGTCAAGGTTCCCATTAGCAAGGCTATACTGAAATAACTGGTTAACTCCTCATCAGAGGTTTGAAAGGGAGATTCATCTGTTAGAAAGCAGGATTATCTTATCTTTACTACGATTTCCCCCTTAGAATGCAAGGAATTGCTAATGGTAATATTTTAAACACCACAAAAGGAGATGTGTCTTCTTATGAATTGTTAGTTTGAAACTA